ACAACCCAGGGCCAAACCCCTGACTTGGATCTGGTAGTCTTCATGATGCCTGCACCAGATTCATGGCTTCCTTCCCCTAACCCACATTTAAATATTTCACCTTTTGCTGTGGGTTTTGCCTAAGGTCACCTAGTGGTTTCCATTGCCAAGTGAGGATTTGAACCTTCGTGTCCAGAGTCATAGTGCAACACCCAAACCACTATACCATGTTGGTTCTCATGTTGCATACTAGTGAGTCACATTGTGTAAGTATCTTGCCTGTGAACCAGATACACTTGTCTTGAAGAAAGTGAGATTGGGCTTGCAGTAGAGAATCCAAAACTCTTATTAAGGATGATAAAGCACTGTTGTGTGGGAGTAATCTTTTCCCCTTTCTCTGCTAAATTGGCAAATGAAGCTTGTATTCTTTGCAAGTGCACAGTCACATCAGCTCCCATCTCAAGCCAAGCTCTATATAACTGCCTTGTCAGTGCTATCTTTGAAATGGCAGAGTCTCTTTGATACGTTTCTCTGAAAACACACCAGTTGTTTTTAGCAGAGGGTGAGCCACATATTAATGTCTTGAAGAAAGTGAGTTAAGATACTTGAGATACTTGAGCAGCAGGTATAGATTCTTAACTGAAAATGATGGTAATATCTAGAAGTGTGAATTTCAATGAAACATTTTGGAAAAGGATTCATAGCAATACTGAGATTGTACTGTCTGGAAATGCAAAATGCAATGTAAAAACTCCATCTAGTGGTGCAAATGGCTGATGTTAAAATAGAAAAAAAAACTATTAAGAAGGGGGTCACTTGATAGCAGAAAAGAATGTGGCTGAAGAGCCAAATGTGTTGAGACACTCTGAAAGGGAGAACAAGGGCATACCACCATTTATGATTTGCCATGTACAAAGACAGCCCAAAAGTTATGAGGAAGTTATCTCTCTTCTTCAGTCTGAGAGGTAAAGCCATGAGGGAGGAAATAAGTGGATGAATTGCTCCAAAGTACTCCCAAGAGAGTGGGTGGGTTACTCCAAAGTACTCTTGAGAGTGTGAAGGCAATGGGTTGCCAGTGGAAGTTCATGACCACAAAGACTGGAAATGCCACAAAGATGAACACTGCAAGGGTGGTGAGCTGGTGAAAGGTAAAATACACACATGAAGGTCACACAACATGTGGTAATGTTAAATAAAGCACAATGAGCAGTTCAAACAATCTAATTTGGAGGGGAATGTCACTATGTTATAAGGTGAAATTAGATTTGCAGAACTGCACTGTCATGAAGCGTGTGTGGTTTGTGTGACAAGCGCCCTGTACAGACCAGCCAAAAGGACCAGCCTGGGGGTGGAGTCGGGGCATGGCAACCACACACCAGCTGTCCTGATTCTGCCCTGATGCCTGCATCACACTGTGCACCCCACCACATGGTGGGGGGCGTCAGGGCACTCCCTTGGTGCAATGTACAGACATGCTGTGCCAAAGGAGCTCAGAAAAGCCACGACACAGCAGCAAGGGCAGCTTTTTGCTGCTCCAAAAAAAACAAACAAAAAACAAAAAAAAAACCAGTGACATTTGCCAGCTCTTTTTGGAGCAGCAAAGTGGTGGATCAGGGCTGCGGTGTGCAGTAGCCGTGGCCCCAATCCAGCACTCCCAGGGTAGTACGGAGCTGCCCCTTAGGGGCCGTCTGTAGAGCCCCAAGGCCAGGACACCTGGATATTAATGTCCTTGAAGAGGCCAGACACTTACTTGTGTATTGGGAAACACCTGCATATGTATGACTAAACACAATGATGCTATGTGCAATGATGTAATGTATGAGCAACTCTGCACCGAGGTTGCAACAGACAAAAGTATATAAGTCACAACTAACTGTAAACACATGTGGGTCATTGTAGTTGTGGTGCTGAAGAGAGTCAGTATAGTTGGTGTGTGTATAATGAGTATATTAGAGAGTTCTGTATAGCTCTATTGCTGTTGAGCTGCTGAGGAGGAAGAGAGTGTACTGCTTCCATCCTGAACTCTGTTCTGATTCTGCATTTGTACATAGTCTTCCTGATCATTTGTAAATAAATTCCTTCACTGTGAGCTGTCTGCTTCCACTTCCTGATTTCTAAAGGTATCTCAAAGTCTGGCAGAGATACTGAAAATCATATTCACGCCTCAATCTCAGTGTGACAAAAAGAAATACAGTGACAGCTCCACTTTTGCATTATGCTTGCAGCACAATGTGTCCAAATCAAACCACATCTCTATATGAGCAGCAAATAAGTGCACACACAACTTCAGCTAGAGCTTCCTCAACTTGGAAAGCTGAAGTAACCATGACTGTAAGCACCTCCAAATGAGGAAAAAAATCTCTAATTGAACACATTCCACTTGATTAAAAAGATCAGAAACTCCCAATTTGTTCCTATTCTTTCCAATTTTATTTTGGAGATCCATGTTTAGAAAAGCCCAGAATATTTTCTGTTAGCTCCCAGCATGATCAGAAACTTTCTATACCTCAAGGCTGTTTATTTTAACCCAGTAGAAAATCAGTTTGTACAGGAACAAATCTAGGACTTTTCAATCTGTCTGAACATGCCATGAGAGTTCAAGTTTTCTTCCTGTACAAATCCATTTTTAAAAAATAGATCCACATGATGTGAGCTGCCTTGGGTTCTTTCGGTGAGAAAGGCAGCATGTAAAAGAAAGAAAGAAAGAAAGATGCTTTCTTTATATTGAAGTATTTTCTGGAAGCTCCCAGCATTGCCAAAGACTTTTCATTCTTACTTTCCAGATAAGTTTAAATTAACTCAGTAATTTCTGAAATAAACTATATCTCTTTTTGGCTGTCTGTTTGTCTTACTTTAGAACTAACTAAGAGGGTCACTGCCTACAAACACAGCTGTTGTTTCCAGGACGCACATTTAACAGAGATAAAACTCTGCCTGCACAGGCCAAATAAAACATCCTCAAGATGGGAGGACTGGATGACACATGGCCCAAATCAGGGGTCGGCAAGGTTTACATACCTGGGGCCGGTCGCTGGTCCCCAGGTCTTCCGCTGGGCCGGGGGGGGGGGAAATGGCGGTGCATGTGCTCATGTGTGCACATGTGGCCCCTGCAGTCCCCCGCCGCTGCCACCACCGCCACCGCTGCTGACCCCCGCCGCTGCTGCATGTGTTGCGGCCGGCATTTTGTTTTCCAACACGGCAGCCGCAGCTCATTCACACATGTACAGGAGTACTGCGCATGCGCAAATGAGTCACGGCCGCCATTTTGGCAAACAAAATGGCGGCCGTGACACGCGTGTTGGCGGCACTGTGGCGGGGGTCATTGTCAGTGGTGGCGGGGGTCGGTGGGGGCCAGTCGGCAGGGGTCGGCGGCCCGGGGGTGACCCGCAGACTGTAGGTTGCCTACCCCTGGCCCAAACCCTGGTTCTGGTGTGAACAGACCAGATGAGGTCTGGACCATCAGAACTCAAACCAATATACCCCTCTTAAAATGCATTAAAATACCTCCTTGTTTACTCTGGATCTTCTCATAAGATCTGGAGTCCTCTGTTCTGACACTAGGCAGCTGTTTTAAATATGACCCACTGTGCCACCTGGTGCATCTGCCACCACCATGGGTCACTCATTCTGATGTCAGAACAAGGTGCCCAGCCATGTGAACAAGGCTGGACACCTTGTTCTGAACTCAAAGCTAAGCAACATGCCACAGAGGCAGGTGCACCAGATGGCACAGTGGGACATATGTGCAAATAACTGCCTGGCATCAGAATGGAGGGCGGTGTAAAGGGGAGAGTTCAGGGAAGTTCTGGGGGTGTCCCCAGACTATCCTGGCCAGTGCAGACAGGATCCAAGTGAAAGAAAGAGATATGTTTACACCAACACAAATGTTTAACTAGTGTAATATTGCTACAGTGAGAGTCAGCGTGGTGCAATTAGTGGTTTGAGTATTGGACTAGGACACTGGGAGAGCAGGGTTCACCTTGGGCAAGTCAAACTCTCTCGGCTCCAGAGGATGTCAATGCCAAACCAACTCTGATGAAATTTGCCAATAAAAGCCTACAATAGGTTCACCTTAGGGTCACCATCAATTGGAAATGGCACCTAGCCATAGCAGCAGCAGCAACAACAACAACAACATTGTTACAGCACTTCAGTACTTTGGCTGTAATGCCTAAATAATAATAAAGAAGACACAGCAGAAATGGGCAAAAATCCATTTCTGAATCTAGATGTGTCTAGATATGTTGAAGTCTAGATGTGACACATGATCAGCTGGAGGGAGAGAAGGAAGAACACAAAGAGGATGAGTGGGGAAAACCAAGGTATTTCAAATAAGAGTTTGGATGCAAAGCTGGGAATATGCAGGCAAAATTTAAAAAAATGGCAACTCTTAATACTTCCAGAGACTTTTGTCCTTCTAGATGAGGCCATAATTAAGTAAAGAAATGATAGACTTGCAACATCTCAATTACTCCCACCCATTCTTTCTCCACTGCCAACATTTTCCCATGATGTGTTGGGCATTGTTGCCATTTTAACACCTGATACAGTAAAAGCTGTGTTGCTCTCTTCTTGGACCATTGGGCCAATGTTAACAGTGTATTTTGCATTCCTTATTTTTTCCTGTGGCTCTTGAGGATAGACTCCCTAATATCTGTGTCAGCTGGCAGAATTGCTTGTAATGAGTAGACAACCATAATGCATAGCCTCTTACTCCACAGAGGCACCATCTGATATTTAGGAGCTAAGAGTTCAAAGATTAGATCATCACCAGCAATGATTTTTTTTTAAAGGAACAAAAAAACCCACATGTATTGCTTACTTGCGGAGGTGGAAATTATGGCAGCCGCTCTGGTATTTCATGTGCTAAAAGGGTGGAAACACTAATGGCAGGTTGGGGAGGAATCACTGTTGCCTCTTGTCTACAAGGGGAATTGGCCTCTGTTCCTGGCAACAAGTAGATGCAGAAGAGAGGTTAAACAAACCATGCTACATATAGAAGAATTTGCCTCCTACACTGTGCCAGTGTGGTGCAGTGGTTTGGGTACTAGACTATGACTCTGGAGACCAGGGTTCAAATCCTCATTCAGCCATGGAAATCCACTGGATGACCTTGGGCAAGCAACCTTAGAGGAAGGCAATGGCAAACCCACTTTGAACAAATCTTGCCAAGAAAACCACATAATAGTTTTCCCTTAGTGTTGCCATAAGTTGGAAAGGACTTGAAGGCACACAACAGTTGCTCACCAGTCTTTGATCCTGTAGTTGAGACCACAAATGCAAATCTGCACCCAAAACAAGGCCCAGTTCTTAGGTTACCATGGCAAGATGGTACCCACCATCAGTTCCTTCTGCAGTTATCTAGCTCCATGAGATGAGCCAGACAGAATAGGCAAGGATTTTCATAGGATCTGGCAAAAAGTCTAGCTAACAAAATGTATACATTGTTGTTATTGTTGTGTATCTTCTAGTTGTTTCCAACTTATAGTGACCCTAAAGCAAATCTATCATGATGATGTGATGTGATACACAATAATGTCTCCAAGATGATTGCCCTATGTCAGGGTTTTCTTGTCAAGATTTGTTCAGAGGGTTTTTTCAATTGCCTTCCTCTGATGTTGAAAAGGTGGAATTTGCTCAAGTTCATCTGGTTTGGGTTTCCAAACTCTGGTCTCCTGGAGTCCCCATTCTGTCACTCAAATAACTACATGATGCTGGCTTCAAAGGTTATGTATACTCACTTCAAAGCAGTAATTGCCTTCCTATTCTTACATGTACACATCATCATATTAGCACTTTTTAAAAAATAATTCACCGTGCCTTTCATTCCCTACATGTTAAGATTTTTAGAATCCATTATATGCTAGCAGAATAGGCTGATCGGGTTCTCTTACAAAAAATATCCTTGAGAGACAAAACAAGTGAGTTTGCTATGAGCCAGTATTATGAAGCCAGTATCATCAAATGTCAGTATTTTCCAAAATAGGAAAAATAGGGGGAAAAGGACTAGCTTTTTTGCACAATTGGATCAAATGTATGGTATGAAGGATACACAGTAGAAAGATTATTTTTTCTTCCTCTTCCTCTTCCTCTTCTTCTCCTTCTCCTCCTCCTCCTCCTCCTCCTTCTTCTCTCTCTCTCTCTCTCAGACACACACACACACACACACACACACACACACACACACACACACATTTATTGGCCAGAATAATCTGATGGATGCAATATGCAAGTGTTTGTTCTTTCTCCTGACTTGTGTACCAGTGGCAAGGAAAGAGAGACCAAGGGCCCTTTCACGCTATATAATTGTAGCACTATGATTCCACTTAAGCTACCATGGCAAGATCCAATGTAATCCTGGCATTTGTCAGTTGGATAGGTGGGGGGAAGCACTACAGCTCTCTAGCAGAGAATTTTAAGTATCCCACCTTAAACTGCAAATCCCAGGATTCCATAAGGTGTTACCATGGCAGTCAAAGTGGAATGATAATACCATAATTGTGTAGTGTGAAAGGACCCCAAATCTGCTGGTTTGGAGCACCCTATGTCTCCAGGGCCTGCCTTTCTTTGCAGTCAATGTGTCCATGGACTTTTCTCTCCTATTGCCTCCACTCATGCCAATGTAGTTATACCCAGCAAAACTCAGTAGCAGCTTTCGGGCAATCATTTACAGGGAGATCCCTATCTTTTCTAAAATGAACAACTGTTATTAATCCTCAGCTATAAAATGAGATACTTCTAATTCATCTAAATGATTTTAAATGTCTTTCCCCCCTCCCTTTCTCTCTCAGTTTTTTTCTATCTGTTTGTTGTCTGTTGACTGCTCTTACCACAAAGATATTGAGGCTTTGCTGAACCAGTACCTGAAGACCATCCATCTCACAAGGAAGCTCCTGTCTGGGTTTTCTTCTATAGTGCTACCATCTTTAGGGAAATTCTATGTTCCAGAATCCCATCATTTCCAAGAGATTGTGAAGTTTTATCAGGAAGGAGTGTAGCTATGGGATTCGGACAAAATGACAGCTTGCCCCTCCCCGATAAGAATTCTGTACCCTCCCAAATGAAATTTTCCTTCAGTCTCCAAATTTCTAACACTGATATAATTTAAAACTTCTCTTGAAAAAGTTTTAGAAATACCATTTAGGCTTCCAAAGGAAAAAGGCAGGCAAAGTTAGCAAGGGAATGCCTACACAGCGAATATACCGTATTTTTCGGCATATAAGACGCATTTTTTCTTCCCCAA